GGTAAATATACGTTTCTCTTCTCTTAAAAACAGGGTTCATCTGTGAAGACCCCTGACTTTCAATAGTGTCAAAAACCCAGTCTACTTTTAAAATATCTACCTTTAAAATGTGCCTTAAGCTGGGTGTGGTGGCACACATCTTTAATCCCAGAGGGAAGCAGAGGCAGGCAAATCTTTAGTCTATAAAGCAAGTCTAGGACAGCCAGGGCCACACAGAGAAACCCTGTCTCAAATAATAATAATAATCATAGTATAAAATTAAAAAAAATGCCTTAAATTGAAAATAGAAAAACTGGGTATGATTTATGCATGTGATCCCAGCTTTCAAGAGGTAAAGACAGAATAATCAAGAGCTTTGGGCTGGCCTGGCCTGCATAATGAGAACCTGTCTCAAAAAAAAAAAAGAGCAAAAAGCAAGTCATTAGATGTTCATCATATTGATACCCACAAAACTGGAAAATGCCCTCCTATATAAAAATAGGTAAAGTCTTGGGTTATGCTTACTAACCAATTTCAATAAAATAATGATTCTGATAATAAACTACAAGAAAACATGAAGTTGGATATTATATTATACGCCAAATGGAACATACTTGCAAAGAAATGACATGAAGGAAACACTAAACTATCAACAGTGGTTGTCTTGGAATAGCAGAATTATAAATGTCATTTTCCTCTTTGTACTTCAGTGAGTTTTCTAAAATCCCCATATACGATACTATAATCATAAAATGTGTACTAAAACATCCTAGAGGGTCCAACAATAAGCAGTCAACATTCAACCCAAAACCTGACGCTGAGTGAATGCTGAGGTTCTCTCTCTGCCTCACAGCATGACATCCTATGCAGAGCAGCATGTAGCAGTACTGAGTTGCTGCCAATGCATGGAGGACAGGAAACTCAGATATGATCGCTGAGGTAGTAAAAATGCTTGGCATGGTATCATTACAGCAGAAACATGACATTATATATCTGTGAAAACTGACACAATGCCCAACACCGAAGTGGACCTTAATATAAACTGTGGATTTAGGTGGCAACAAAGAATGAATAGGGGGCGTGGCTGGGCCAGCCCCATCACTCTGCCATGAGATGGTGTGGGCACTGGGGTGATGCCCTCCTGCCTCCTTGCCCCTGTGGTAGTCAGGAGAACTGACCCCGAGGTCATGAGAGCTGGAGAGCTGCCCCTGACTCTCTCCAGCTGCAGCTCTCAGAAGAGTGAGCCCCGCACTTCTCCTGGGTAGGGGGTGTCAGTGACCTGGCCCCAAAGGCATGAGAGGAGGAGAACTGACCCTGTCCCCTGTGGCAGTCTGTGGTGGCAGTGGATGAGATAGCTGAGGCCGTGTTGGAGAGCTCAGCTCCCCCTAGTGGCGTGGTTTAGGGAGAACTACAGCGATGACCAGCTCAGCTAACCCAGGCCCAGATCCAGGCCTTTGAGTTGGCGCACCCCAAAATCTACACCATCTGTAAACTGTTGGAGCACGTGAAAGGGCCAGTCCTGCTGATCCAAAGCTGCAGAATCTCCACAACACAGGGCAACAACAGGATAACTAGGAGAAGTCCCAGTGAGGATCCAGTATTGATGGTGTCACAGAGGCCAGAGACCTAAACCAGACCAATGACTCACTGTAATGAACATTTGCAAATGAAGATGTGTGGGCGGAGGGGCATACTGTGTGACACAGCGACCCACTACAGCTTCCACATCGAGATGTTTTCTATGCTTTCATTTTTGTTTGTTTGGTTTTGTTTGTTATTTTCTTTTGGGGAGGAAGTTGCAAGGACAGAGGGTGAATACGAGGGGACAGGGAGATGAGTGGGACTTGGGTACATGGTGTGAAACTCACAAAGAATCAATAAAAAGTTGAAAAAAAAAGAACCCATCGTTTTTAACCAGTGTGCCATTTGGCATAGAATGTTGATAATGAGGGAAGCTGTGTGTACAGGAGGATGGCTTTGTACACTCTGCCCTCCTGAGCTACGAACCTAAAAAGGCTGTAAAACATGGTATGTTTTAAAAGAGCAAACTGTATGACCAGACTGAATGTCTCTTAATTACACGGCTCAGATGTAAGCGAGACATGAACAAGGACAAAGACACTAACTAAGGCAGCAGCAGGGGAGTGGAGGGAATGTTGTACAAAATCCATCAGTACTGCCTTATTAGCAGGAAAAGGATCATAGTAATCATTCCTTTCAACTTCAAGGCGATGTTATGGAATTCCAGCAATGACATGAATCTGGAGAACGATCGAGGAAATATGTATGACATTGGAAATATGCATGACATTCACAAAAGCAGTGTTTTCACAACAGCATGCAGCAGTGCAGAGGGTTGTAAAACAAACTGAGGAGATGGATTCCCATCACCATGTTTTAGTAAACACAGCAAAACAGATATCTCAGTAAGGGTAAATATTAAAACCTTGTTCCAGTTGCATGTACTTGTACTGGGTAGTGACATAAATGAACTTCTTGCTATTGGCTATGGCTTTAAATAGGAGCCAAAGAATGAGGAATGGCAGTGAACTAGAAGGAGGAGGCAGACAAGAACACCAAATCTATTGGTGAGGTCACTCATGCAGTACAAAAGCAAAACAAATGTTTAAACAGAAGGCTGATCAGTAAGGAAATGTTAATAAAAGATCAACTTTTCATTTACTGTTAATATTTAACTCTTAGAGACTGTAGAGTTCCAGGAAGACTACATATAGAATTTTTTTTTCTCAAAGAATTAGAAACAATACTTGAGTGACTCAGCAGGTCAAACCACTGTACTTTGAGAAGGGCAATGAGGACAGATAGCCAAGGCCTCTTGGGAAAAACAGAGGGATTTCCTTTAAATGAAATAAAGATGTTCCATTCTCTTTCTTAATCCTGACAAATTAAATAAACAATCAACCTGGAGAAAAACCCATCCTTTGGTTACTGATGTCAGTTCAAAAACCCTCTACCTGGCAGCCAGGACTCCTCCCTCACTCCAAGACTAAGCAGAGACAGTCTCCAGGGAAATAATCCCATCAATCACTAAAGTAATTGCATTTCAGAAAGACCTGTCAGCACAGATCATTAATTCATTTGGCTAGTATTTACCAGCGCCTATGATGTGTGGAACTAAGCACACAGATGGACATTGTATCCTGTACCTTGGGAAGCTTATCATGGTGATAAGGAACCCAAAGAAACTTCAGAGTAAACACTGAATTAAGCACCGACTTTTATTGCTTCTCCCTCCCAATATGCCACTAAAACGACAGTGGCGAAAGTTTCAAAACTGTGTTAAACCCCAAAGACTAAGAGACAGATGGGGAGATAATAGTAGCCCAGAGGTTTCAACCAATCTTTGAAATATGGAAAGGATAGGGGAATGTGACCTATGGGGCGTATTTAGGAAAACTGGGAAGGCCAGATACAAAGCAAGGTTCTGAACATAGGGAGAATGGCTGAAAGGCTTGCTGTGGGGGGTTGGCATCTACTACTTGTAGCATTTTCAGGGACCAAAGCTAAGTGAAAACACACATATATGCATGCACCCACACACATAACCCACGACATACTCCCACTCTGTTATTTAAAGATACTGAAATTTAGCAAAGGCCAGGCCATTGGAGTAGCTGTTGGTACAGCTTCACCACAAACATGTAATGCATTGTATTATGATGTAGCCACAGCTAGGAAATCATGAGGCAACAGCAATATTTTAGTTTGATTATACTCTTACGGTACCACTGCCCATTGTTAACTAAAACAGTATTGTGTAGCATACTGGTGTTAGGTTGGGGAGGGCATCACAGTGCCATTCAGGAGGCTTGCACAAACCTTTGAGGCTCTAAGATATTTACAGATACCTTCAGCTCTCCTGGAACTTAAATGGAAGTCAGAGCCAGCATATCTGTGGATCTTCCTGTAAGAGAGGAGAGTATTTCTAGCCTCCACCCATATCTTTGCATTGTGAAAGAGCCCATCTCATTTAAGAGCTTGGCTAATTCCACCTCTATCCTTTGAACTGCCTAAGAACATCTCAGCATTCCACTTCAAGGTCATTAGACAGTTGAGAAACCTCTAAGAGACAGAAAGGACCCAGAGAGATGGTTTAGCAGTTAAGAGACATGCTGTTCTTCCAAAGGACCCCGGTTCGATTTCCCAGCATTCACACGGCAGCTCACAACCATCTGTAACTCAAAATCCAGGCAATATAATGTTGTCTTCTTGCCTCTGCTTGCAACAGGCACACACAGAATGTACACACAGGTAAACATTCATCCATATGAAAGAAAAATAAGTACAACTTTACAAAAGAGACATAAAAGATCAAGCGGAAAAAAAAGACATTGGACACTAGAAACAGTAATAGGACAGAGAAGAATGAAGTATCACACAGACACAGACACATACACATACACACACACACACCATGCTCAGAGTTACAAAAAGACAGTGCTTCTGTGCTAAGAGAACAAGAATAGAGTTCTATGCTTTAACAGAAGAGATAAGAGCATCAAGAAATTGTTTGAGCTTTCCCCAGAACTAAAGGGATGAGATTTCGGATTAGCAAAAATAACCAAGTTTACTGTGTGACAGATTTTAAAAACACAACAGCGCAAAACTTCAGAGCAACAACAACAAAGCAAGCAAGTAGCCTAATGATTACAGAAAGACAAGAGGTTTCCATTGAAGAGGACCCGAAATCACAGTAAGCCTCAGACTCTCACAGTCTGGGTGCTGGAAGACAGGAAGTCTGCATCCCTGCAAAGTCAGTTGAGGCAAAGAACTGAAGACTCAGTTGATACTTGTGAATACATACACTAAACATACAAAGCAAATGTGAAAAAAAA